AAGATTGCCTACCCCTGGACTAGGAGATCCAGCTCCTGCCAGATGACATTAATGATTGCATTATAGGTTTTTGTTGCTTCTACCCACAAGGTATTTCACTTTTTGCTGTTGCTATTGCTTTGATGGGGCTACATCTGGATGAGCTACATCTGGATGCTGCCAGATCCAGCCCTTACAGCAACTCCCTTATTAGCCAAGAATGATGCTCACACATTATCAATTCCTCCCTATCCATTTCACCTTGAAACTTTATGTCTATGACCTATCCTCGTGGTTATTTTTGCATTCTTTCAGAAGAACACTAGATCCAGTTTCAGAAATAGCCTGCCTTTACTTCGTTTCTGCAACCTGCCGCCTTGACAGGTGGCCAAGCCAGCTGTTCTAAGCGTTCATCTATATTCACCTTCACACTCCTACACATATTAAAGAGAGGGGTTGATAGTTATCTGTACCCTAGTATATTATGTACGATGGGAGGAAAAACAAGAGCAGAATAGCCGGTAAATCACTTTCCTCAACTTGTCTTGCATTAAAAGAAGGAGGAAAACACATTTACTGATATATGTTCATGAACTGGAGCCAAGCAGTTTCACCTGTGCCCAACATGAGATCTCAATATTGGATCTTGTTGCCTTTTTTCCATGGGTTATTGAAATAAAACATTCCTGATATGACCAGTCAAAGGCTTTTATGCAGATATTTTAGTTTCTCCTTCGTAAATTTCCTGGATTTAAAAAAAAAAAGATGGAGAAAGAAGTGGGAAAACACAAAAGGTCATAAGTGGAAGACAGTTATTCTGGACATCAACATTCTCCTTCTAAAAATTAATGCATGAGGCAAGATGATTGCACAATAAAAGATTTTACTGGAAATATCTGAGAAGTAGTTGCCACTACAAATGTCTATTGTGTGTTAAATGACCAAAACAGACTATGTTTATTTTTTTTAAGCATACAGTACGACTTTGAATTGATACTGGCTTAATTTTAAAATTGGCTAAACCATTTCTTGAGCCCCCATGAAATCTTGGGGAATAAAAGCTGAGTAATTTTGTTGAGAGTACTGCTTCTGTGTTGTTGTTGTTAAAAATGCTTTATGCTTGTACGCTAATGCATCACATAAGCAAAGCAGCATCCCATCCCATAATGAAAAGAGTCAAAGTCTCTGCATGAACAGCAATAACAACCAATTGTCTCTGTGAAGCAGAGGACTAGAGCAAGGACAAGTGCAGGGAGAAGAGTCTGAAACAACTGCAATATCTTTGCAAGTGGCATTTTTCTTCTTGTACTCTGTTCTGTATTATTCACTTGGTAATATAAAACTGAAAAATCAAGGATCTCCTAGTACTCTTTCATATTTCAGGTCTAGCCATGGTGGTGCAGTGGTTAGAATGCAGTACTGCAGGCTACTTCTGCTAACTGCCAGCTGCCAGCAGTTCGGCAGTTCGAGTCTCACCAGCTCAAGGTTGAATCAGCCTTCCATCCTTCCGAGGTTGGTAAAATGAGGACCCAGATTGTTGGGGGGGCAATATGCTGACTCTGTAAGCCACTTAGAGAAGGCTGTAAAGCACTATGAAGTGGTATATAAGTCTAAGTGCTATTGCTATTGCTATGGAGATTCTCAGTCATCCATGTCAAGATTATCCCAAAGGTGCTTTTTCAAAAGGCAATTGGACTTTGTTTTTCCTTTCAGCAGTTCCAAGAAGGTTCCACACCCAGTTGCACTATGCAGGTGACCCTGAGGGCACAGATAAACCTCCAAGTGGCCTCAACAACTCTCAGAAAGTGCAGATGAGTGCAAGGAATAGAAATTCTTCCATCCCCCCCATCATTCAGTCAGAACTGAAGAAGCTTCTTGGATGAGAAGCAAAATGTCTTCAAGGAAAAACAAAGTCCTGTTGCCTTTTGAAAAACCACCTTGGGGACTTCATGGTTCAGGGATTCTCAGACTTTTGGATTTGCCTTTCTCCAGTGGTCTCTACTTATTCGGTATTGCCTAAAGTTGCTGATGGTGATCAGAATTGATATAAAATAGGTATACTGTATATCAGTTGATACATAAATTGATTAAATGAATAAACTTGCTTTGGGTTCAAACTGAAAATACATATCAATTTTTCCTTCACCCGATGCCCTCAAGAAACACCGGACAATAATTTGCATCATCCAATAAGCAAAGGATTCAGGGATGGAGGGGGAAAGCTGACATATGACTTAAATACTACATTATTATGTTTACTAGAGTTTTGCGGAGTACCAGATTTAATGGTACTGATTCATGGACATACTCATAGTATCTGTCAAGAGCACTTAAAACAACTGCAACTTTTTCTGGACTCAAAGCTTCTCTTTCCAGGTGACATGTGATTGTGGGAAAGGGCACATTTAATTTAAGCTATGCTTGATACATTAATCCACATTGTTGTGTTTAGATTTATCATATATATTTCTTATATTTAAAGCTGGTTATTTTCCTTAGACCATGAAGACGACAGACAGATTACCATTTTATTTTACAAAAATCAGAGAGAGAGAGAGTCCTTATGAACAGATTTATTTCACATCTGGCTAGAATTTTAACTTTGGTCTCCTTGCTTCAAGTGAAAGATCTCTCTTTATGCTTTAGATTTTAATTGCAAGGAAATGTATAACAATTATTCTGGAAGATTGCAATGAAAATGATGGTTTTACAGCTCTGCCAAATGAGCTCTGCACAATGTAAAATACATAATTCATCAGAATGGTGTGTAGATTTTAATTGACTCCACAGATTTTTACATGTAAAACAGCATATTATGGACATAATTACAATAAGGCTATAAATAGAGTAATTTAATAATTATGACAGCAGCATCCACAGCAAGCTACAGTGATCCAAAAGTGTAAATATATACTTGGTGATGTCATGATGCATATCCCATCCTTATTTCCAATGTCTGATGCAAGTACGTAAGCTACCGTACTTTGAAGATGAATATATATAACTCAAAACTGTCTATTCAATATGAATACATTTCCTTTTATACAAATTTGACACAAACAATAAATGCGTTGTCATTATTATTTTCCACAATTTTCAGCAGAGATAGACCTACCAGTTGTAAAATGGCCTCCTATATTTTGTATCATAACTCAGTCTGGAATTCATCGGTTCTAGACATAAATACTCTTTTAAAAAATCCATCTTTTGTGTTATTTATTCCAACATAAATTAAATAGGCTACCTATCTGTGTTGATTACTCAGGCATTTATCTTTGTCTTATTATCATAAAGAATAAATTATAAATTATAATATAGAGTAATTTCCAGTTCACCTTTTTTTCTTCCATGTAGAATAAGTTTGTTGTTGCTATTTTCGTGAGCAGTTCTTCATTTTGTAGAATAAAGTATGGCAAAACCAGGGCCAAAACTGTTGGTTTAATCAGGCATCCTTAATATTATATATCAGACAAAATAAATATCCCCTATAATTTCTTGTTACCATTCTAAATGAGGTATGGAATAATTTTCTTATTTTTGTCTCTATAGTATAATTACTTCATAAGGCAATTTAAATTTGTATATAAAATGATTAAAATATCTGTTGCTATTAGCATTCAAGACTATGTGTCTGCTCTAGGAATAAATTCATTGAACTAAGCGCACAAGATTTAAAATCAGAGATAAATGGGTATAATTAGTGTATCTTGTATTTAGTATGTTAGATTTTTAGGAGATTTTTTTTTTGCCTCCTAATACAAATAGCACCAACTTAGGAGAGCACAATTACAACTAGCAAAATGAGGCAATTGAAATGTTTCTTTCCTGAAGAAAGTCTGAAGAAAAGATGTAATCTGAAATAGGTAGTTACACGGGAAAGAAATCATCCCAATTTGGGATTCCAAACAAAATGCCAATAATAAGGAACTTTACTTTTATGACAGTGCCAATACCAGCTTCGAAAGAGGGTTTTCCTCAAGATCCTAACAAACAAATTTCTAGGTTAATTTTTAGGTTAAATCTTGAACTGATATGGTGTAGTGGTTAAGACATCAAGGAAACTGGGACACTGTGAATTCTAATCTCACTTTAGGCACTTATCCAGCTACCAGTAGGTAACCTTGGATGAGGCCCTCTGTCTCAACCCTAGGAAGCAAGCCAGAATAAACTACTTCTGCAATTTTGCCACGAAAATGACACAAACCTGTTCAGCAGCTGCCAGAGTCAATACTGACTCGAAAGCACACACACACACACACACACACACACACACACACACACACACACACTGTTCTTTAATGGCTGCTTTGGTCCCATCCATTATTATATTCATGAATATATTATGATGGTGATTGATTGATTATGAGCCATCAAGTCGATGTCGACTCATAGCGACCACATAGATTGATTTTCTCCAGAAATATCTTATTATAGCCATAATCATTTTCATTACCTATTAATGTTATTGGCACTTTGGCAAGCCTATATATGAAATGAAAAGTCAGATTTTGTGGTCCACATTCTTGGATAGTGAAAGAAATTAAGCTTCTTGGCATCCCAAGTGCAGAGCTGCCCATTTGAATGGATGCTGGTAAAATTAAACGTTAGCAAGGGCTGTCGTAGTCCAAATTTTTCACAGTATCTAAACCAGGGGTGTCAAACTGACAACGTCACGTGACGTGTCATGACATATCGTGACTTTTTTTTGCCATTGACGGCAATGGGGTGGGCGTGGTTTCGCTATGATGCATCCGGCCCGCGGGCCAGTAGTTTGACACCCCTGGCCTAAACTGTCTTACAATAATCCCCTTCCTTTTTAAAAAATAATAATTGTGTTAATAAGACTTGAATGGCTGGAAATAGCTCATATAGAAATATTCTAGAGAGGATTGAGATAAATAATCTCCCTGACTTATTCTAGCCCAAAATATTGCATGACCATCAATCTTGGTTGACAGAGGTGAAGCTTAGGAAGAATTTTCCAGATACGCTTTTGTTTAAAATTCTTGTTTCTCTCACAGCTTCACTCTGACCAGGATAAAGGAGATGGTTCACTCAAGTACATCCTTTCCGGAGATGGCGCAGGGGACCTCTTCATCATCAATGAAAACACTGGCGATATTCAGGCCACAAGAAGACTTGATAGAGAAGAGAAACCTGTTTACATTCTTCGTGCTCAGGCTATCAACAAAAAGACTGGGAGGCCCGTGGAACCAGAATCAGAGTTTATCATTAAGATCCACGATATCAATGATAATGAGCCCCTGTTTACAAAGGACATTTACAATGCCAGCGTCCCAGAAATGTCTGATGTAGGTAGGTGTCAGATCACCCAACCATGCTGGGATTAGTTTTCATTAGCTAGTCAAATAGCAGTTCTACAGTTGGGATTACTAAGATCAAAGCAATGAGTACTTAACATGTCCAGCTGTGCGTTTTTCTGCTCTACAGTACTGGGGGAGGGAGAGGAGAGATAAAGACAGAAGATCTGCATTAAGTTCTTTGTGTTGGAAGAAAGATGACAGAGAAAAGTGATTTGTAGAAGCAGATAAGCATCTGGTATCATTATAGCATCCATTTGATAAAACGGTTGCTTAGTAAGATGATATTATGCAGCAGCACATGGTCATAAAACTAAAGGAGGAGAACAATTGAAAATCGCCCTTACTACATAAAAAGCATATTCTGTAGTTAACTTTCTTCTAATAGTTAACTTTCAGATTCGACTAAATTATAATAAACATGCATTTACTGCCACATATTCAGCAACTGTTTTTATGTATGGCCTTCTATAAAGATTACAGTAATTTCTAGGTGCTGATAGAAGTCCACTTGGCACAGCTTTCTGAGCAATAACAAAGATTTGGTATTTGGAACTGAGATTTTATTGAAGGTCCCATTTGAATTAGAACTGGCCTGCACAACTTTGTCTGTGTCGGTAAAAGGGGAAACACTGTTTTAATTTTTGTTGACTGAAAAACTATTAACAAATCCATGTTATCTTTTCCCTTTGGTTTTCTCAGTATTTCCACTGAAATCAAAATTCAGTGGCATCAAATATATACACATACGTTTGAAAATTTTGCCTTGAATGAAGATAAACTTAAAATGTATATTTGACCAAAATAAGGAGAATTCAGCAGGGCACATTACTATCTGATTAAATTAATGAATTGATTTTCATATGTCATCTAAGTTTATACAGCTATTGTATTGTAGCATTCCCATGCGCCAGCATTAGGAACTATCTATATTCTGTCAGTCCAACAGATAGGCAACACTTTGCTGACTTTGACTGATCTTAGAAAACTAAGCAGGCGTGAAGCTTGTTTAATAGTTGGATGAAAGACCACAAGGAAATTGCAGGGCTGTAAGCTACGTTGGGAAGTTAAAAAGCTATACCTAGAAAGAGGCAGTGGCAAACCATTCCCATATTGCTCACATGGATATGTCCAGAGAGTTGGTCACATTAGATCACATTGTCCTGGTTTTCTCCTTTCCATCAAGTTTCTGTTTGGCTTACTATTTCAATATTCTTGGGGACTTAAAAGATTCTTTCACAATCATATTTGGAGGATTGGGGAAGAGCTGCTATGAGAAGGTAAAATCAAGACAGATAAGGGCAAGAGTGGTTAGGAATCCAGTCTTTGGGGAACCAGGTACTGATTCTGTGGAGAGAAGTTTTTCCGCAGACATGGTTTTGCATGCTGCCTGCATCCTGCAAATGGGGCTTCACTTGTTTGTGCGGACCAGTTTCTGGCATGCCACGGACCTGTGCCAGTCCACGGAGAGGGGGTTGGGAACCCCTGGCTTTGAAAATACAGAGGACTACAGTTAAAAACAAATATATATTTGTAAGGGGTTTTTTTCCCCTCTTTAATCATCTCAATATTCAATCCAATCAGTATTTCGACATTTGAAGAACTAGTTAGCCCCCAAATACCATTTCTTCTTCTCTATCCATCCACCCAATTTGGGTTAAATAAAACCAAATAAAGAATAGGGAACAACTTTTCTTTCCCTCCTTATTTGTCAGTGTTACCTATTCAATTATTTCATACATATGCATGGCTTTTTTAAAAAATCAATTGTAAATATACAGCAAGAAAGACAAAAAAAAATTAACTCAGGCAACATGAAAAATGTTCCATCTAGTGATGACTCACATTTTTCATGGTAATTTAGTTAAAAACCTGAGGGTCTGTAAATCCAAAGATGGTTTTACATGAGCATACCTTGGAAATACTACTGTTGTTGTTGTATGTACTCACAGATAAGTCGTGAATGAGCTGAACCCGATTTTTTAGTTGCATTTTGCTTCCTAAAATTCTGAGCTTATCCACAAGTATATTTGATAAGCTCAACTCAAAGGATGTTCTAGATTTACCTTATTTGTTACCAACCTAGAAACATTGCATCTCCTGGGTGTAAGAGTATCCCATGATCTAAAAGCAGAGGGACTAACATTAACTGAGGCCATCTCCTCTTGTTTGACAGTAAGAAAATGCGGAACCAAGATTTGTATATTCAACTTTTGATTGCACATTGCATGAACTGGGACAGCATATGGTTTAAAAAATATTTAAAAGACATTTTTGGATTGGATGCAAGTTGCATTAATTTGAACTCCTTCAAGAAGGTTTAATTATTTTCCCCCCAGACTCATAAAGGTGTTTGGAAAAATGTCAGGCTGCTTTAATGAAACCCAGATAGGTGTTATGCTTCCAACACACTATCCTGGATAGTGAGACAGATGGAATATAAATGGAATAAGTAAATACATTTTTTCATTCATTTTTAAGCATCCATCACAGTATGCACTTTATAGTTTACAGACATGAAGAACAAATTCAGTTGCCAGGTCAGAAAAGAGTGCCCACTTCTATAGAACACTGCATTTAGAAAGAATATGTATTGATGTATCTATGTGTATACTTTATAAATAAATAAATGTTGGCGTATTTATAAAATCAGCTTCAAATCAAGGCAGGCTTGTGCTGACTTATATAGATTCAGCTATGCAGGTTTCTTGGTATCAAACCAAAAAAAATGGCTTGCCACCAGCCTTTTCTAGCATTGTGTTTTGATCTTCAAATCTCGCCTACAGATCTTGATTTCCTTGGGATCCCTCAACCAATCCTCTGACTCTGTTTTGCTTTTCAAATTAGCCAAAGTGCTATCAGTTACTTGGAATCTTGTTCTCTGGGCTTGTCTGTACTGTATATTCTCCAGCACACTCTTTTTGCTATTACCCCAGAAGCAATTTTCTCATATCTGAAAAAATACATTTTTGTGGGTCTGAATTTGGCCATTCGCTTGCCTGTTCTTTAAATTGTTTGATCTTTTGATTTTTTCCCCCCCAAGAATAGCCAAATGGGGAAGAGAATGAATGAGAGAAAGAGCCCTGATAAGCAGAAATTTCCTTTCTCCTCCTGTGGCTTGTCAGAATCGCCCTTCTTTCATTGTTTCCAACAGGACAATAAGGATTTCCTTTTATTTCAAAAAGCAGGCACAAGCATGAACTGATCCCATTAAAGAACATAAAAAACCCCTCCCCCATCCCGGTTAAATCTCCTTTTCAGCTTGATGACTGCTATTTGTAAAATAAATGTCAATGAGCTGAAAAACGAATGACACAATGACATCATGTGCAGTTCGATTCCTCTGAGCCATTTGCAAAACATTGGAACAGCTCCATCTTTCAAAGCGGGATGGGGCATGATTATATTTACAGTTAATTTTCATAAAATTAGTCGAGCCAGTGCTCCAAGGGCAGACCTTCAAAATTTGCGGTATCTGACTTGTCTTCATAAAATCTATTCTTAAACCCAAATTCTGTTAGCTCTACAACTGACAGCAGTTGAAATGGCATCTTTTGATACACCAGTTTATAACTCTATTTCATTGTCACAGGGACATTTGTCATGCAAGTCACTGCAACGGATGCCGATGACCCCACGTATGGGAACAGCGCTCGAGTTGTCTACAGTATTCTCCAGGGGCAGCCATATTTTTCTGTTGAGTCTGAGACAGGTCAGAGGCCTTTAATCTGTCATACTCTGATAACCTCCGTAATTTAAAATGACTTGTTAAGTCAAGCTAGGATGTCATTAGGCAAACTCTTCAAAGAAATCCATTTGACTCGATGCAGGCTTTGAGAGTTCCAATAGAGCAATACATCTGTAAGCATGGCACATTTTTTTTAATCAGAATATCTTAACCTAATAAGCAGAACTTAGCCTGGATGCAAATCCATTTAGCAAACATTGGGTATGTAGATGCTTCCATTAAAGCTGTGCTTAGCACAATAATTTGACTTTGAATGTGAGAGAAAAAAAAGTAATTATATGCAGGAAAAAGATCTTGCTAATCAAAAGTCTTTTAAAAAATGGAACTAGACTTGCCAAAATTTCTCCTCCTATTTAGTTTGCGGCCTACTTCAGCTTTGTTAACAAACTTTTCCTCATAAATTGAAAGTGGCTATGTGGCATTCCCTCCTCCAATTTTCCCCTAACACAACCTTGTGAGCTAGATTGTGACAGTGACTGATTGAAAGTCACCTGGTGCTTTTCCATCATTTAAGAAGGATTTCAGACTGGGTCTGTCTGGTTCTAGGATTTCACACTGGCTCATATAGAAGAAATGTGTGTGTGTGTGTGTGTGTGTGTGAGAGAGAGAGAGAGAGAGAGAGAGAGAGAGAGAGAGAGAGAGAGAGAGAGAGAGAGAGAGAGAGAGAGAGAGAGAGAGAGAGGCTAAATGTTGGGGTTTTTTTGAACTACATGAATTACCCTATTAAGGAGAATGGGCATCAAAGCATTAAGTTTAGAAATTACTGAAATCATTTAATAGGACATACTTGGTACAAAGTACCAAGTCAACATAAGATTAAAGATAGCTGCTGCTCCAGCAATTCACAACTGGCTCATACTGGGAGGTATGAAGGAGAGGCATTGTGTTATCTTTGTCGCCATTTCCATTTCCATCTCTAGCTAATCCATATCTAATTTCTGTCTGTCTGTCTGTCTATCTATCTATATCTCTATCTCATCTTAGATGCACTGCATTCTGACTACTTAAGTATTATTTAGAATAATTTATTAAAAAAACCTTTTTTTTTCATTCCTAGGTATCATCAAGACAGCTTTGCTGAACATGGATCGAGAAAACCGAGAGCAATATCAAGTAGTCATCCAAGCCAAGGATATGGGAGGTCAGATGGGCGGATTATCAGGAACCGCCACGGTGAACATCACATTGACTGATGTCAATGACAATCCACCCCGCTTCCCCCAGAGTATGGGAAAGATACTTTTTTTTCCTTGTATAGTTACATCCATAGAACATTTTGGCAATCAAATGATAGGAACTTTATGTAAAGGTCGATGGACATAGCTGAGGAGAAAGGAATGGCTTTTTACAATTTACTGTCAACATTAGGCTGCAGGCCTCTGCAAGCAACAACAACAACAAAAAAACAGCCAAAGCTCTAATTTGTAATGTATTTATCTTCTTTGAATTCATATATTTCATTAAAAAGGAGATTTAGTCCTTATAGTTGCCAACATATTGTTAAAATGTTAAGTAACTAGTTATCCTAATATAGAATTTTATTCTCTCTTTGCGTGGTGGGAAAGCCATTCCCTACTTTTTTCCTCTATTTTTCAGTTTATTTCTCTTTTTTCTTAAAAAAAACCAACTTTCTATTTTTCTTGTTATTCAAAGTACTGATTAGTTCACATCAACAAACTGTTCCTAACTACTGGCAATTACTCATAAGAGTTTTCTTTTTAGCTATTCTGGTGCTATAATGTACTACTTTAAAGGATCAAAAGAAATCACATAGGAACCAATTCAAATATAATAGGGAAAATTAGTCCAATTGTTAACCTATGTCTACATCATTTATTTTTGTCTCCCTTTTTCACTATTAAGTCACCTGCATAAGATACTTTTTTTTTTGTTTCATCCTGGGCTCTTATTTTTGCCAAATGCCGTGGAAATCTCACACAGATCCACCACTAATAGATCACTTACCCATTTGGGAGGAGGCTGGATTAGAATCCTTTTGCCTGACATATTTGCTTTCCAGAGGCAAGGAATTCTCCATGCATTGTAAAGCACTACTGCCCAAGTAGACATTGACAAGTACTTTTTTCTACAAGGAAAAAGAATTCAGGAGAGAAAAATACGAGAAATGAATTTATTTTCCTTTTTTTCCCGCTGAAGAAATATTCATAATATAGGACAAATATCAGCCTGTGGGTACAGGGAACAGGAAACTCCTTTTGACATGAGTTCTTTATAATGTGAGATGCTCCAATGATGCCTCAGGCTTTGCAGAATCTGTAAGACAACAATACAGAGACACAATAACAAAATAGTCCCCAGCAAAGTATCTGTGGGTCATTTGCAGTGCAGCACTGCAAACGTTGCACTCAACTTTTGATTATTTGAATATATTGCATACTTTTATTTGATATCTATAAATGTCTTTAGTTTATTTTCTTGTTTGGGTAAAAAAATGGCTTCTTATGTTGTACTAAAAAGGAATCAAGGAAAAGAGAACAGTTTGGCAAGGATGAAATTAACTTTAAAGAAAAGATAATACCTATAGATAAAGCACTTGCCCAAGTTGGACTGTGCACACTTCTCTATCCTAACAGGTTCAGTGACTGAACAGTTTCTGAGTTCTTGTCTGTGTGGCAAGTTTGCAAAAAAAAATGAGTTAAAAATAGTTCCCTTTAAGTATAAAGAACAAAACCTCTTCAAACTGAAAGAATAAATTGAGCCAGATTTGCTCTTTGTGTCACTGATTCATGCTAAATTAGTAGATGTAGTACCATCTCCCTGCCACTAGTAGTGCTGTCGAGTGGCAGGATTCAAAAGCAAGAGTTCTCTCTTCAGTCTGCAACTGCCATTATGGCAAGTTGCTCAAAGTAAAGTACCATGAATTATAGTCACCAGTTGGATAATCGTCATGCATCATATTACTGCAATTAAAGAATTCTTAAACCAGATTTATTTATATAAACCCCACATTTTAATGCTTGTGCACTTTTTGGTTTGCATAACTAATCATGGAGCTTGTTTGGCAGAGCAATATTGGTGAGGGGAAGGACCCTTTTGTCTTAGATCACATGATTTGCATGCAGATGATGCCAAATTTGATCCCCGGCCCCTCTAAATAGGTATAGGAAAGATAGTTTGACAGTCTAAAGAGCCACCAAGAAGAAACAAATGATTATGGTGAGTTATTTGCATGGTGGAGAATTTATTTAGCCACAAGCAAATTAGTAGCTATTTGAGGTTAAGACTAATAACATCTAGTTAATTATATGGGTTAATAGCTTATAATACTCACATAACCCTAAACCCCAGCACTGCCTAATGCTTTGAAGCATGTCATGTGAGCCAGGCCACAGATTTGCAGGAAGTCTTCCCTATTTCTAAAGGAGAAGCAATCTAGTAGTATCTGTCAATGTGTATACAGGCAGTTAAAAGATATAACAAGAAAATTTAAAGAGGTTGTTGAAAAATGCTGAAATAATGTTAACTGTCTGATGGACCTTTCCACCTCTTTACCTTTAGGTGCCTATCAATTCAAAATACCAGAATCTGCACCCCTTAATTCACCGATTGGACGAATAAAGGCTAATGATGCTGATGTGGGTCCAAATGCTGAGATGGAATATAACATTCTTGATGGAGATGGCTCAGAAATGTTCGGGATGACTACAGACAAGGAAACGCAAGAAGGCATTGTAATTGTAAAAAAGGTGTGTATTCTAAGATGCTTTATTCCAGCTTTTATTGTGGCACGCAAAATGAAGTTTTTAAGATATTCTTAAACAAAAGATCTTTTGGATTCAGAAACCAACTAAATAATATTGATAGGATCCCTACAGTTGTACGATCTCATGCAAGATACTTAGGGAGGAAAAATCCTTTAGGTTTTACGTTGCAGTCCTTGTGTATGTTCTGAATACCTTGGCATAGTCTCCGAAAATATTTTCAGCTAAACCTGATAGAATAATTGCTGGGATGTGGCTATTTCAAAATTCTATACTTCACAGGTATGCAAGGAATATCTTTACATTCAGTTGTTACGTTCGTTCTCATCATTTTTGCCACTTCACATTTGTTTCGAATAGAAAGTAATGTTTAAATAATTCCCAATATATCCTAATTTCATGGGAATGTTGCAGAAAACAACAGGTTGTCAGGGAATAAATACCAGTGGAAAAAATTTCAAATGTTATAAAACCAAACATCCACAGGCCAAATATAAATGCATGCACACACACACACACACATGCAATCTGCACACAACTAAAATTAAAGAGGAGGCAAAACAAAGTATATTAATGATAAAAGGGATTTAGCAACTATGTCACTAAGAGGACTGTACGTCTTATCCAGAAAGATATCCTCATTTTTAATGTATCTTCTGGGTAAGATCCTTAATATATAAAAGATCTTTGGTGACAGTTCTAATTCCACAAGGATAAAGTCATCCATTAAACAGAATCTTGTTGAATTAATCAATTAACAATTCAGAGTGCAGCACATTAAAAATAAGTGAACATAAAATACCCTCCTGTATTTAAACAGTTGATGTGTGCAAATACAGAGCTTTATCTGTTCCATAATTTAAAAATTATTTAAGGGCAAAGAAGAACAAGACTTACCAGCTGCAGCTTTCTTATTTTGTAAATTTAGCTCTATTAATCTCTACATAAAAGAGAGCAAAACCTTCTTTAGGCTGTAATTACTCAAAACCTCAGGAGAGAAATACAGTATTTTTTTTTCCATATCCCAGATTCACACACTGATTAAAAAAGGGAGGGGAAGCTAAATCCTGAAAGCAATAAATAAATATAATAAGGAGCAATAGTAGAAAAATGAAAACTGAACTACCATTTCAAGCATTTCATTTAACGGATCATAGATTCGCTTCCAGTCTTATACTAGCATTTCTCATAAGGGTGATATACCTTAACATTTTCACTGTAAACTAATTAGATCCCTTCCAGTTATGCACTGAATCCGGAAATCCATATGAGAATGCCAAAGGTAAATTAAAAGCTTGAGTTATAAAGTTGAAGATAGAATGCCACCAAGGAAAAAAAAGAATCTTGAGATGGCTTGATGACAAAACCACAATTTGCATCTGAATACTCAAGTATTTTTTATGGGTGACTTGTTCTTATTTCATTATCATTTAAAACTAATTACACCTTTTATATCCTTTTGAGCAATCACCAAGCCCTTTGGCATCGTACAATATGATACAGAATAAAATTATATTATGGCCTTAGAGTTGACTAGAAAGACCACATTAGCATTATATTTATAATTTCAGCAACCTTTCAATCCTAATTGAATATTACTGGCATCTGTCCTGGGCGAGCTGGTCTATCCTAATTGATTTAGCTTTTTATATATGTTTTACTCTATTGTGACTTGTCTAAAGTCTTTTGATTGGGGTGAGCTATAAAAATTGTAACATAAATGAACAATGTTGTAAGAAAATTAATAGATAATAAGCCATGTCTTGCCTGCTTTAAAAAAAAAGCATTCTGTAACTCCCTTCCTGATAAAGGCCATGAAATTTCTCTGACATATTTTTCAGAGTACCTCTATTGTGGCAGTTAATTTCAAGACCCAGGGAGATGCAACAAAATTAATTTGGGCTAGTATACTGTATTTCCACACTGCCCTATCATCTCTTGAATGTACCCAATGGAGACTCTTCAGAATCTATTCTAGCATTGAAATCCTCAGTCCTGTGGATTTCTAAACTTCCATTTGTGGATTTCTAAACTTCCATCTGCAGTAACTGTTCTGGTGAAAGCTAAATGTGGAATATGCTTGCTTGTATGCCAGAGGCCCTGAGCAAACTATGAATTATGGTTAAGGATTTGAATCATATGCATATATATTTATAGGGTTCATAAATGGGGGGGAATCATTTAATTGCCCTGGAATGAAAGTAGAGTGAAATCCAAAGGTACATCCAATTTTTTAGATGGTACAAAATGTCACAGGAACCAACCTGGGTCGGTTATCCTGTGGTGATTGGATCCTGAAACATTATCCTGGGGCATGCATATTTGCCTTCATTTGGTACAAAGTGTTGTTTACTTTAAAGTCCTCGCTGTCTAAGTTGATGGCCTTGGTATCCAAGAAGTGCCAAGAAGACACATGTGCCATTGATTTATTAGATTTGTAATCCATTGAATCTCGGGCTTCACAGTAATTTATTATAATGAAGCAACAACAAACTAATAAAATACAAAACCAAAACATAGTAAAAACATTACATCGATAAAACCAAACGATAAAGCCATGTAGTCACATAGATACCCTTCAAACCTGGATGTCAGCCCTCAAATACCCTGTGGAATAGTCTAGTCTTCACTGGGCTAACACCAAAGTACAGGGATCAGTGCAAGTTTGACTTCTCCACACAAATTAAACATCCGCACCAAGAAACATTGTCTTGGACCCCCATCTGTATACCAGAGACATCTCCAATTGGGAACAGCATACTGAACTGAGAAAGCACACATAGATACAGAGGAGTCAAGCCATGTAGGGCTGTAAAGGATAAAGCCAACACTTTCAATGGAAATCAGAAACTGAGTGGAAGTCCTACAATATAGGAGCTACTTAACTATGCCTGTACTATGCCTATGCCTACCAGTAGACGATAGCTGCGTTCTGCACCAATTTCAGTTTTCTATTAAACTTCAGAGCTAGCCCCATGCAGAAGATATGCATTTATTATTTGTTTATTAAATTAGTTGCTACAGTAGACTGTCAAAATGATGGCAACATAAATGATTGGTGACAGCTGATACTGCACGAAGTAGGGCATCGAGGATATATCATGCAATACATTTGCTTGCCATGGAGATATGTAGCCTTAAATAAATAACTATTTCCACAGTCTTATCCTTCTTCCCTAACCTTAACCCTTACCCTTCTTCAATCAAGATAAAAAATAGTTGGATACTGAGGGTAAGAACTGAGCAATGGATGCTTATATGCGCCCCATTCCCTCTGCCTATCTTTTAATTCATATTTTGGTACTTTCATTGTTGATTTTCATTGTTTCATTGCTTTGCTTTTGTTACACTCACATTTTTAAAGCATTTTTCTTTTCTGCTTTAACTGTTGTAAGCTGTTCAGAGCAGCCCCATGGAGAGATGGGAGGCCAATAAATTTAACAAATAAATAATAAATATTTCCAATGTCTCCACGCGCATGGGCATTTCAGAGGTCTCAGGCTAAAAACTGAAAAAGGCTCACAAGTGTTTTTGGCTGATAGAAAAAGGCTCTCAAGTGTTGTTGCCTGATAAGGAGAGATTCAGAGTCACAGGGTGATTTGTTAGCATGTATTTTTACCAACCTTTTCCAAACCCTAGAACAAACAGACAAGCATATTTAAAAGTAGCCTTTCAGCCATCAAAAAAGCAAGTTGAACAGAATAACAAACTGAACAAGCAGTGTTTAGGATTAATAATGGTGTCCCTCTTATAGCTACCATAAGGATTACTAAAAGGATAAAAAAAAACCTTCATGTATCCGAATGCTTAACATAATTAAATAAGCTGGCAAAATACCACTCACAAGAGAAGACATAAGGTGGTAAATATTATCTTCTGAAAATAAAAGTTTTATATATTTGTTACTATATGCAGGACAATTCTTGTGCTTGTTTACAAATGATATGCGACCATGCTTTAGGATTCTTGGATGAGTCAGAATGAGCCAAGGAAAACATCAGGCTTTTCTACTTCCCTACTTCTTTAATTAATATATATATATGGTTCAAACCCAAGATTCTCATTTAAGACATTACCTAATCAATAGATTCAAAGTCTGAAATACTCTGTAAATTAGATTTGAAAAAAAATCTATATTTTGAGCATACGGCTAAATTTGAAATTTTAGAATGGAAAATTGATCACAAAAGAGCATATAAGCCCAATACTTTGCTTAGCGTTGTTTGGAATCAAACAGTCCCAAACCATGTTTTAGCATTTGTGTGAACCAGGTTAGTGTTTTCAGTTACAATTTAGAATTCTTCACATGCACGATTTTTCCTACATATGGAGGCCAGAGTAAAATAGTCTCTGAGTGTCACTCTGTGTGTCAAAACATATAATACTGAACATTATACATTGAAATGCTTTGTGTTGTCAGCATTACAAATATAAAACGCATATTAATGCTACAATTTTATACATGTTAAATGCTGTATATTAATTTTTGGTTTCCCATATAATTCAGTTAGTAAGCAAATGTATGTTGTCCCACTGACTTTTGCTTTTTTGTTTCCCAGAGCAATTATTTAATAGAAATTATGACTGTTGATATCAGAAAGAGTTGCATTAATCTCATTTACAAATATATAGTAACGTTAATAAGGTTATAAATATCAGCCTACTTCAGTCCAAACTCTCTAAAAGGCATTGTGTCTGTAAATAGCAGCCAACTAATATTTCTAATTCATAAGAAAATATATTTTTAAATTTTAACCATGATATCAGCTGAATAGATGTGTGCATGGAAATGAGTATACCCTTGTATCTGGTTCTGAAAAAAAGAAAATCTTTGACCATGTTTTATACAACTTAAGTATAGAATTTGAGACATGATGGCTAAAACACTTAGGATATTTCTTCTACCTGCTCAGTTTGCATGAGGTAGTTGTCTAATTACCCCTCGTCACAGACATATTTCCACTTCCAGAAGTAGTAGGACATTGAAGAGGTAGTTCAGTTGTTTCTTTGTTCATTCAAACAACTTATGTGTCTTTATTTACAAACTCACTGAATGCTCTTTGGTGCTCTCTGAGTTTTCTCGCAGAGGTTTCATTATCCAAACTAAGATAACATAATCAGAGTACTGATTATGTTACCTAGTTTGGGTAATGAATGTCCAAGAGAAAACAATCAAGCTCAGAGAGCACCAAGGATTCCTCACTTCAATCCTGAGCTACAAATATTATGATGAAAAACATAAAAACCTTTAATCATAAAAGGTTTGCCTGTAACACATCTGTTTACCAAAATCAGCGGAAACTTACATGGCAACCTCCTTAGTTCCTAGTTTTCTACTTTGATTCTCTTCTACTGTCCAAGTATAAAACTGGAAATAGTGCTTTTCACTGATGGCACTATAACGATTATCTACCATCAAGTATATGGGTCATGGGCAAACCAAGTAGATGCCATTAAGGTTGATGCACAATAATCTTGTGGACAGCAAAAGCCATTAAGGCAGATTTCTTCAGCTACTTCTATAGAATCATTAATTCACCATCAGCACTTGTTAGTAAGCAATCAAGTAAAAAAAACCAAGATGGTTATCATTTGGCTTGCTGATAGCATTTCTGCTGCACCAATTTACTCAATATTACACTTGATTGCTTTTGACTGCACATATCGCACTCAGTTGCATTCCCAGTGTACTATTTGGGGGGGGGATGTGCTTTTAAGGAAAAGAAAGGGCAATTCCAAATGAACACTGTATTTTCTCATTTGTGAGGAGATGTTCTGTTATGGCAAGGAATCTGACAGAGCCTCGCAAACCTATTTGGGAATGTTCATTTCAGAAAAGATGGGAAAGTGTCAATTTGAACTCCTGCCAGTATATACTCTTGACATCCTGTAAATTAAGTGTGTCAACATCATTCTGTTGACTTAAACAAAGCTGATGCCATTAACAATTTGCTAAAAGTGAAATATTATTTGTGCTTCCAATAAGAAGCCGAACCTCTCACTATTTTGCATCACATCCCAGCAGTGTTTAGTACCAGATTCTGGATGCCAAAAATTTTCACCATAGATTATAGTTGTTATGAGTAATCAACCATTTTTTGTTTCAAAATCTTAATACAGTAAGATAGTTTAATAATTAAATATTTTTGCTCGTCTAGAGTGGGACAAACCTTAAATCAGAATTTATCGTAAATCAGAGTTTTCAGAAGGGGAGAATTACAGATATACTGTAGACATTTTGCATATACTTGCACAATTCATGAGATACCGAATAGAATGGAAATAATCAACCATGCAGCAAGGCCCGTCAGGTGTTCAATTACACCTTTATACTGCTTGCTAGTGATTACAAAAGCAAGTTATTTAAGTCTGATTAGCCTTAGACATCTTTTTTATTTCCAAATTGAGCCTTTAGACTGCACATCCATCAGTTTATAGTGACAAAGAGATGGTTGTTAGGGAATGGGTCATTAAAGTCTTCTTTGACTATAGTCAAAACAGACATTTATGTTTTCCGTTGTATTCAAGGGATGTTCATTCTGAATTGAATTGTGAAGCTTGAGTTTAAATTATACAACATAAGCTCATTCAATGCAACTCGAGGTTTCTCTAATTGACAGGTCTTTCTGGATGCTTTCTCAAATTTCTTCATAATATATATATATATATTTTCTCTTCTCAGGCTTTGGATTTTGAAAAGCGGAGACAGTTTACTCTGAAAGTGGAAGCTAGCAATCCTCATGTGGATCCCAAATTCCTCTATCTGGGACCCTTCAAGGACATTACTACTGTCAGAATTCAACTAGAGGATGTAGATGAACCTCCAGTCTTCAGCAGACCAGCTTATATATTAGAAGCAAAGGAAGATGTCCTGATAAACACCGTCATAGGTGCTGTAACGGCACGGGATCCTGACAGTGCAAAGAACCCCATCAAGTAAGCATACCAGACCAGAGGTACCCAACTGACAAGAGTCAGTTGAGAAGGCAGCAGTATGATGAGAAACTATTATTGTAATAAAGGGGGACCTGAAAGCATGTGCCAATGCACACAGGTGCTTTGGTAAAATGACTTAGTAGATATATGAAAAGTGAATTGGATTCCTCCCCTTTTCAATATACTGTATGTGGGGAATACAAAGTGAGACAAAACACTAAAATCATTCTATGGTATTGTAAAAGAGTTTCCTTCCACCCTTCCCTCCTTTCTACCCTTTCCTCCCTCCCTCCCTCCCTCCCTCCCTCTCTCCCTCTCTCCTTCCTTCCTTCCTTCCTTCCTTCCTTTTTTCCTTCCTTACTTCCACAGTTTCCACATCTTTCTACTGTTGGGCAGCAAGCAAGAAATTAAATTACAGGTAGCCCTCACGACCACAACTGAGCCCAAATTTTGGTCACTAAGTGAGATAGTTGTTAAGTGAATTTTGCCTCATTTTACGACCTTTCTTGCCACAGTTGTTAAGTGAATCAATGCAGTTGTTAAGTTAGCAATGCGGTTGTTAAGTGAATCCGATTTCCCCATTGTCTTTACTTATCAGAAGGTCACAAAAAGGGGATCGCATGAGCCTGGGACACTGCAACCGTCATAAATATGGGGCAGTTGCCAAGCATCTGAATTTTGATCATGTGACCATGGGGATGCTGCAATGGTCGTAAGTGTGGAAAAGGGTCATCAGTCACTTTTTTTCAGTGTTGTTGTAACTTTGACCAGTCAGTAAGTGAAGTGTTATAAGTCAAGGACTACCTCTATAATTTCCTCTCAATATGCACATGCACAACATTGTGCATGGTGGCTGAGAAAAATGGAAATTATAGTCCAACATCTATGAGAGCTTCCTAGTTGGAGATGGCTAGCTAGATGGATAGTTATCCTTTCCTTAATAAAACTGGAGGGGGGAATGGTGGGTGGTGGAAAACCATGGAAAAATCATGAAGGAATATGATGTTTGGATTTCCCTCTGCCCAATAAAATTATGTGAATGACATTAATTCATTGCATAATGAAAGAATCTCCCCACTGTGGGCAACAACTGGAATTAAAAAATGAAAAGAGAGATGCCACGTAGGTCATTAAAAAGAGAAGGATGAAAATGGAAGGATATGTATAAAAACAGACTCGGGCAAAACAAATGAAGTTAGGGACAAACAAAGAAAAAAAAAATATGCCAGAAGAGAGATGAAGGAAGTGGGCTGTGCTTCCATACAAGCTGCATGCCTGCAATAAAATGTGATCTAAAAGGGCCTTTTTGTACAATGTTATTTTGTACCTTCCAAGATCTATAAAGGCTGCTCTATGCTAACAATACTTACATTCTCCACCACCACCACCAGTGCATACCCTATTTCAAGTGTAAATGCTAGCTCTAACTTTTCCTCTCAGCTTGAGGGAGGGGGCAATTAGACCATTATATGTACTACTTGTCACTTATTTGTCAGTTTCCTTTGACAGTTAGGAATAAAACCTTCAGACGCGGGGTGTTACATTGAAAACCCTCAATTTTTCCCTTCTTAACTGTGGCTTTAAAAAGAAAAACCTAATCATGGAGCACTGTCAGTTTGAAAGTCCTTTGATCTCCCATTAAAGAATATTTCATAATGGCATTATATAAATGCTTAGTGAGAAAGGGGAGAAACCCCCCCCCCACTCACATAGACGTCTTGTCGACCCAGAAATCTATTCAACTTGCAGTTGCATTAAACACAAGGATGCTGTATTTAAGAAAGCAATTAAGAGAAGATCTCCAAGGAACCAGCTTTGTAAAAACCTGCCTTTGGCATGAACAGATTTGAGTGGCAGGTACGTTTGTCAATAGAATAGCATTTTAGTTGCCATTTCCCCCATCTACTTGGCGGCTGGATGTTTTTTTGGGCATAGTAGCATGATGTACTATTAGAAGCGACAGTTTCTAGTTCTAGCTGGAATGAGGTCCTTGTCCTTTGGCTCAAGGAGCATTGCTATGAAGGAAAAGCACCGAATAACAACATTTTACTTCGTTTTTCAAGGAGCTCATAGAATGCAGGGGTGATGCACCAATCCGAGCTTGAATAAACAGAGCAATGCAACTATATGTAACGGACATACAGGTAGCCTTTGCTTGCCGACTGCTTAGTTCAGAGTTATGACAGTATTAAAAATAAACAGCTGTGTGGTCAGTCCTTGCATTGACAACTGCTGCAGCATCCCAATCATAAGCAGCTTGCAACAAGCAGAATTAATGGAGAACATGGAGATGCAGGTAGTCATCAATTTATGGCCACACTGAGCCCAGAATTTATATTGCTCAGTGAGAAATTTGTTAAGTGAGCTTTGCCCTATTTTACGACCTTTTCTTGCCACATTTGTTAAGTGAATCACTGCAGTGGTTAAGTTAGTAACCCAGTTGTTAAGTGAATCTGGTTGCCCCATTGACTTGGCTTGTCAGAAGGTCGCAAAAGGGGATCACAAGAGGACACAGCAACAGTCATAAATATGAACCAGTTATCAAGCGTCCGAATGTAAATCACGTATCCATGGGGATGCTGCAATGGTCATAAGTGTGAAAAATGGCCATAAGTCATTTTTTCAGTGCCATTGTAACTTTGAACAGTCACTAAGTGAACTGTTGTAAGTTGAGGACTACCTGCAAAATCATATGTCATGATTCCCTGATGTTTCCTTAAGGACTGAATGAGAAGTGATGATATAAGTCCATCACTGTTGTGTGATTTTCCACTTAGTGACCATGGGGCTTAGTGACTGAGTTGCCAGTCTCAATTGTGGTTGCTAAGCATGGACTTAGTACAATACACGTAACACAATAACGACTGATGGAACAAAAGTATGATTCAGGCTTCAATCCACTTCAGTCTATTTTTTTTATCTGCCTGCTAGCTACAGCTGCTCGATCCAGTAAGACTCAAACTTACTTAAAAAGGAAGGGAAAAAATACTTTAAGAACTGTCAAAAAATAAAAGTGGACGAAAACAATGATACCTTGAGAAGTAGCTACAACTTCTGAACCATAGCAGGAAAGTCACTTTAATTACTAGTCTATTCACAATGTTTCTGTTCCCACCCCCCAAAAAAAATGAATAGAGTGGGAGTCAATCCCATCACAGGAAAAATGTTGTTCCGCATATTTTTGGCCAAAATCAAAGCCAACTGTTAAACCAGTCACAGCTCCGAATGAACTTTGTCATAGTCATTTACAATGGAATCTATGCCTGAAAGAAAATCTCAATCAGAATAAAAATGTGAAGATAAGAACCAGCTCAACTGAAATTTAGCTCTTCAGATGTGATCAAAAATGTCTCTCCAACATTGTGAAAAAAATGTAATTGAAACACTGAAACAAGGGTAAGAAGATGATAATCAGCAAATAAATTAATGGCTGTTCCTGAAATTTACTGACCAGATGCTGTCTCAACATTCCCCGATCATTTGTCTTGTCTGTTCACTCCAAGTACAGCAAAGCTTTGAGCAATTACAAATTATATCTTCCAATTTAACCATTTCCCGGGATTTAAAAAGAATAAAATTCTACAGTCTGACAGACACACATAGTAATTTATAAAATGTACAAACAAGTTTGATGTTGTCAGCTTAATTCTTAATAGGCTATAATCTTTTCAGTCATAGTCATCAGCGGCTCAACCAAATTAGCAGCCTTTGACCAAAAGAGACCTAGGATTCTTTAAACAGAATAAAATTAGTGACAGGATAACTGATCAAATATATCCTCTAGATCAGGGGTCCCCAAACCCCAGTCCATGGACCGGCACCAAACCTCAACATGCCAGAAACCAGGCCCCACAAAGAAGCAAAGTCCCATCTGTAGGGATGCAGATAGCACATGAAACCAGGCCCCATCCGGTCTGCAGAAAAACCTCTCTCCATGGAACTAGTCCCTGGTGCCCTAATGGTTGGGCTGCTCTAGATCAAGATATACAATATAATTGGAATATATATTTAATTATTGTAAATCTGCATATAATAATAATAATAATAATAATAATAACAATAATAATAACAACAACAACAACAACTTTATTGTCACTTTGAATGTACACCAATCGGCATACATCAAAATGAAATTTCGTTGCATACAGCTCTCAAAGGGCCACCACCTCCGATATACACTCCTTGTTTGTGGCCAGCTCAAGTTTCAGAACATCCATTTTAGTCTCTAGGGAGTGAACGATGGCAAACAGGATAGATGGAAAGGGAGCTCCATGTGGATTAGCCCTCAAATTAGCTTGTATTCCTGCACGACAACCTCGCCTCCTTTCCTTTTTCTGCTCTTGCCTCTTCCACCTTTTCGTTTTTCATCTCTTAATGTTAAAAAAATACAAAATTAATATTTTCTCAGACCGCTGTAGTAATTCTAAGCCTTTAATTCTGTGCCTTGTGATGGTTTATTTTAATCATCAGCAATAATATAAAAGAAAGGGGAGCATAGGGGAAAAATAAGATAGGACCTTTACTATTATTGATTGGTTCCTAGGCAAGATGAGAGATAAGCTTTCTGTTTGTTTGTTTTTTGCCTAATTTTTCTAATATAGATCTTATGTTCCTACTGGTTCTCCAGAGTCACACGTAAAGGCTTAGCCACTTGTTATGTTATATCACTTGATTAGGAATTAAATCCCAATTTTTTTCAATTAAATACAAGGCATGGGAAAGATCATCAGTGGAATCATAGCAGAAAGAAGTTTAAACTTTCCCTTAGCTATGATCTTATTAAAGAATCAGTCTTTCGCACATCAATAGAAACATCCTCCATTGCAGTGGTGGGATTCAGCCGGTTTGCACCACTTCGGCAGAACCGTTAGCTAATTTTTTGTTGCCCAGGCCCAGAATGGACTTCCAGAAGTGGCATCCACACAGAGAACTGGTTGTTCACATATTTGAATCCCACCACTGCTCCATTGCCATATAATGCTTTTTACCAGATGAAAACATGTCCTATGGTACTTATCAAACTTCCAATAGAAGAGAATATAGGTAGCTCAGGATTGAACTGTGATATCCTTGATGCTCTCTGAGTTTGCTTGCAGATATATCATTATCTGACTAGTTAACATCATCAGTGTGTGTAAAATAGAACATAGAATAATAGAGTTGGAGGTTTTCTAGACCAACCCCCTGCTTGACCCTAAACCATTTTAGACAAATGGTTGTCTGAAATGTAGGGTGAGATCCCTATTTATACACAGTAGCTTGTGCTACTGTGGTGTGAGGATGTGATCTTTCCTTTGATAATTTCTTGATTAAGGTATTATTTTCTGCTTGATTGTTAATTCTTCAGTATCTGGATGTAGATGCTGGAAAGGATATGTTCTGGTGATTTTTGTTCTTAGGTGTTTTGTTTTGTTTTGTTTTTGCACATGTGAGCATATTTTTTTTGCAACTGTTAGCAATTGTTTTTTTACCTGTGATCATCCTGTGATACACCTGTGAGCAGCCTAGACCAAGATAATTCAAAAATGCTAGGGAATTCCTGGAAGCTTAGCATTCAGACAAATCAGTCATCAATACACACATAAGATTAATTCACATTTAGGCACCATTCAAAACAGACAGTTAAAAAAATTAACCAGCTGGAGACAATAATAGCTAAGCAAACAATCAGAAAACAATGCCCAATCAAAGAACTATCAAGAGAAAATGAAATGCACACCAACTTAGGCAGGGCAAGCCTCTGCATATAAACAGGAGCAAACCCCACACTCAAAACCACTGATCTTGTCACCTAGTTAAATAATGAAGAGCTGTGGTGGTGCAGTAGTTAGAATGCAGTATTGCAGGCTAATTCTGCTGACTGCCGGTAGTTTGATTCTCACCGGCTCAAGGTTGACTCAAGGAGGACCCAGATTGTTGGGGGGCAATATGCTGACTCTGTAAACCACTTAGAAAGGGCTATAAAGCAGTATATAAGTCTAAGTGCTATTGCTATTGCTAATGAAACATCTGCAAGCAGATAATCAAGCTCAGAGAGCACCAAGGACTACATGCAGTACTATCAAACATCTTCTGCATTCAATTTTTATGCACCTATCACATGACTCTTAATAATTTGGTTAACATAATGCATAGCTAAGCTTTAATTTCCACCTACTTCTCTTTTCTTAGAGCTGGTCTTGTCACAGCACCGATTATTAGAATCTCTGTTCAACAGAAATGGCTCTTTGATATGGCTGCCATACTGTAAGATTAACTGTGTGAAAGAAGGTGAGACCAGTAGGGACTCAGCTGCAGACTGCTTTATAAACCCACCCATGTCAAACTAGCGACCCTGAGCAAGTAGCAATGCATAAAATATTAAATGCAGCAAAATGAAATAAATACAATAGAATGCAAAGCAGTTAGGGCTGCAGGCAAAATTATCCCATAACAAATTGTAAAAAATATACACAATGGTTTCCACGAACATCCTGACCCCAGAACCCCAGAGAAAAGCTAGGACTTCCTTCCAAAAAGCTAACAGGGTAAAAGCTCTCTGAATCTCAGGGGGGCAGACTATTCTTTAGGGCAGGTATTGCAACTGAGAAGGCAAATGAAGCACAGCAAGCACTACTTATGCCGACAGTCACAAAATACAGGGTAATCCTTCACTTACGACCACATTTGAGCCCAAAATTTCTGTTTTTAAGTGAGACGTTTGTTGTTCAGTGAGTTTTGCCCCATTTTACGGCCTCTGTTGCCACGCTTATTAAGTAAAACACTGCAATTGTTAAGTTAGTAGCATGGTGGTTTAGTGAATCTGGCTTCCCCATTGACTTTGCTTGTCAGAAGGTCGCAAAAGCAGATCACATGACCCCAGGACACTTCATTTGTCATAAATATGAATCAGTTGCCACAAATCTGAATTTTGATCACGTGATCATGGAGATGCTGCATTGGTCGTAAGTGTGGAAAACGGTTAAGTCACTTTTTTCAGTGCCGTTGTAATTTCAAATGGTCACTAACTGAACTGATGTAAGTCAAGGACTACCTGTACTGTTTTTAATGTGGAGCAAGATGGGTAAAAGTCTTCATGATGGGCTTGAGGGCTGGTTGAGAATGGCATTGGCTATTCCTGTCCTTGAGACCTAATTAGTGCATCATGGCAGGAATGAATGAATGAATGAATGAATGAATGAATGAATGAATGAATGAATGAATGAATGAATGAATGAATGAATGAATGAACGAACAAATAAGCCCTGAAGCTCATTTCCCTTGATCTTAAAAAAAACCTCATGATATTTATCACTTTAACTTTCTGAAGGCTTCATTGTTTCCCTTAAAGAATGGAATCAGCCTTTACTGTGATTGCTGAAGCTGCTTTAAAATTCTTGTTTTAAAGGAGTTCTATTTAGCATTATTACCTTTAAAAGTGTTTTGGTCTGGTTCATGGATAGAGAGGTAACTTTATTTTTAGCTTTGTATTTATGGATTATTGCAAGCTGCCTAGAATCTTTATATAAGTCAAATGAATGAATGAATGAATATGTTAGTGGGCCAAATGATAGTTTATAAATTTGTAGTACCTGCAAGCCAGCAACTCTCCTTCCTATACAGCCATTATCTGCCACATAATCACTATGAATTTCTGGAATAACATATGGAATAAGGGCTCCTGAAACATAACACAGACCTTGTATGCTCCCTATTACTGCAATGTCTGGCACATTTGCATTACAGACTCATCACCTGTTATGCACACACACTCTGCAATTACATCCTAATGAAACTCAAAACAGTTGTAATTTATTGTAATTGGTATTGCTATAGATATGTAATCACTGTATGATCTTGTAATTCCTATCAATTGGAGAGTTTTCAAAGCAATAACCATGTGAACTTCCCTTTCAATTTATCTTGGACCTAGGAAGCCAGGAATTAGTGGTTATCCTTCATTTCTGCTTTTTTTAAATAACATGTCAGGCAACTAATTTGGGAGAGGTTACATTTCAATCCAACCACAATGTGCAGGCATACAACCACAATGTACAGGCATAGATAGTCTTTTTTTTTTTTTTAGAAAAAAGATCCCTCCCAATTTCTGAAGCTGAAGTGTCACACATGTGCCCCTGCCCTAAACACATTATGTATCTCTGTGTTACATGTGATCATGTGATACGTATGGGAAGCATGGCTTTGTATTCAGTGACATGAGCTGCAATTGTATGTGTTTAAAAAAAAACAAGTCTTTTATAATGGAATGCAGCTCTAGTAGCATACGTCTGCCCTTTTTAGCTTATTGACCGCTAGAGACAAAACAGTATATAAACAGACTAAATATTTGTGTTCCAATACATTTTTCAAAAGCCAACAGAATAGGAATTAGAATGAGACTTTGGATACAGGATTAAGCTGAGAAATAGATCAAGTTTATTGGATTTCCCTACCAAGGTTTAGAAAGCAATGGGAATTGAAAAGAAGTGTGAAATGGAAATGCATCTCACTTTTTATCTGTCTATTTGTAGATATTCTGTGGATCGGCATACTGATATGGACAGAATATTCAACATTGATTCTGGAAATGGATCAATATTTACTTCCAAACCTCTCGACCGAGAAATGTTATTGTGGCATAACATTACAGTAATAGCTGCTGAAATCAGTAAGTTGTCTGTAAAAACACACAAACACACACACACAAAAGCAGCATTGCTCTAACAAGTGCAGCCTTCTAGCCAAGCGTGGCTGAAAGGGAAGTCAGGTCCATATGCTTTGGTTGCTTGCTGTTATTTAAAGACATAAACCGAACAAAGTTTCTGTATTTTTTCTCATTTTTCCCTTGGCTATAGTTTATGAAGAGGCAACTGAATGCCTGTACAGAAAAAAAAAATAGGCAGGCCCCTCATTTCATATCAAACAAACTAGAAGAATTCTTCTGGTCATTGACTATCAGTGAGGAGTTGCTGATTTGCAAAAAAAAAAAGTTATACAGTAGATTAAAAATATACAACTATATAATGTCAGGGAGGAGAATGTAAAAATCCTGTATGTTTTTCATTCCTGGGAATTTCAGTCTTATAGCATTGGCCAAAATGAAAGAATAAAATTTAAAAGCCACTAATTTCTGCTGAAACCCTGTTAATTTAATTAGGCTCAGAATTAATTAGGAGAACTAAAAAACCAGCTCATCACTCTTAAATCCATTTATGCAAAAGTTGTTATTGATGGGACTAACTTTCAAGTAGATATGCTTCAAGAGCTAGCCTCGGGGCATTTAGATTGCAGTGAAAGCAAAATTCATGTTTTGTCGTCTTTGAAAATGTCAGCCACATGTATCATCCTTCACTATGTCCAGTTTTGTCCAAATGGAGGTGATGGAGGGAGGAGCAATCTTTTATGATAATGGCAATCCGATCAATCAATCAAAATAGAGCTGGGAGGGACCTTGGAGGTCTTCTAGTCCAATCCCCTGCTCAAACAGGAAACCCTGTACCATTTCAGATAGGTGGCTGTCCAATCTTTTCTTAAAAACCTCAGTGATGAAGCACCTATAACTTCTGGAGGCAAGCTGTTCCATTGTCCTCACCGTCAGGAAGTTTCTCCTTAATTCCAGGTTGCTTCTCTCTTTGATTAGTTTCCATCCATTTTTTCTTGTCTTGCCTTCTGGTGCTTTGGAAAATAAGTTGATCTCTTTTCTTTGTGGCAGTTCCTCAAATACTGGAATGCTGCTATTATGTCGCCCCTACTCCTTCTTTTCTCTAGCCTGGCTAAACCCAATTCCTGCAACCGTTCTTCATATGTTTTTGTCTCCAGGCCCTTAATCATCTTAGTTGCTCTTCTTTGCACTTTTTCTAAAGCATAACATCTTTTTTGTAACGTGATGACCAAACCTGGATGCAGTGTTCCAGATGTGGTCTTACTAAGGATTTATAAAGCGGTACTAATACTTCACATGATTTTGATTCTATGCCTTTGTTTATACAACCAAGATTGTATTAGTTTTTTGGTGGGGGCTGTTGCTGCACACTGTTGGCTCATGTTTAAGTGATCGTCCACTAGGACTCCAAGGTCCTTCTCACAGTTACTGTTTTTGAGCCAGGTTTCACCTAATATGTACTTGTTTACCTTTGGTTTTTCCTGCCTAGGTGTAAAACCTTGCTTTTCTCCACATTAAATTTCATGTTGTTGGATAGGGCCCATTGTTCCAATCTGTCAAGATCTTTTTGAATCCTGAGCTTGTCTTCTGGGATATTGGCTATTCCTGCCAGCTTAGTGTCATCTGCAAATTTGATTAGTTCCCCTTCTGTTCCCTCATCTAAATCATCTTTGAAGATATTGAAGAGTACATTTGATTAAAAGCAACCCTTGCAGTATATTAAAGAGTAACATATTCATTACTGTACAATTATAAGTTTCCATGGTTCGTAGTATCTGAACAACTGGAGATAAATGTGGCATTGAAGCAAATTAAGCCATCTTCTTTTTCTTATATAACATAAAGCTGCTATATCTGGGCTACAAAATTCTAGAAGATAATGAGATGGCAGTAAACAGAAATATCTCTCTCTCTCTCTCTCTCTCTCTCTCTCTCTCTCTCTCTCTCTCTCTCTCTCTCTCTCTCTCTCTGCTACTGTTGCCCTTACCCCCAGATTTTATAGCTTAGATATGGTATGCCCATTAAAGGTAACTGCACATAAAAGATATTCATCAGTTACAGATAACAATAATCATACAGAGCAATATTAATAAAACCCACTGTAATATGGGTAGTAAGGAGTAAACTCCACCATATTCCTTTTCTCCACAAAATCCCTTTTGCTTTCTCAGATGCCTGCTCTTACTATGTATTTCTCTGTAAGGGTTACACTACTAACTGAAACTTGCAGAATATGATCATTATCATTTATAAGTTCATGATAAAACATTTGCATTAAGCCAGTATGATAATTGAACTCTATGCAATAAGTATTTCTACATTTTAGGTGAAATTGCTAGGAATTGTAATAGACAATGTCTACAGAGTACTAATGTCATATTCAAATTTATCTATTAGATCTATTATCTATTAAAAATGGGAATTGGGAGAAGAGTCATGGTGGCACAGTGGTTAGAATGCTGTATTGCAGGCTAACTGCCCATAGCCAAGAATTTGATCCTGATCAGCTCAGGGTTGACTCAGCCTTCCATCCTTCCAAGGTCGGTAAAATGAGGACCCAGATTATTGGGAGAAATATGCTGATTCTGTAATCCGATTAGAGAGGGCTGTAAAGCATTATGAAGTATATAAGTGTACGTGCTATTGCTATTGCTATTGCTAAGGTGAATGGAAAAATGGAGCTAAAATTAGGAAATTTGCCTTTAAGAGGCACTGTGGCTTCCAGGAAAACTTATTTCCAACAGAATTTCTGTTAAGATACACATAGGTTCTGTCTAAGGCCTAGACTAAAAATGAAGAATACTAATATGGAAATGAAAAGCTAAAATTTCATTGTGGTAAAGTGGACCAAAGCATTTCATATTGCATATGATGAAGAGAAAAGATTAAGCTGCCCACTATAAAGTGAATATTATATCAATGTTTCCTTTGAAGTTCATCCTTGGAAAAAGAGTTGCAAGCAACAGCATGTCAGATTTCTGTTTATGTTAGCACAGATAAGAAGCATAAGCAGGTAAAGTTTGTCTTTCAATTTTACTCAAATCAAAATGAAAATTCTAACAGTAAAATCCTCCCCCACTTGCCCCCTTTCCTTAAACCCTTCGTGATCACTGACTCACATTCCCCTTTTATCTGTTTATATTAATCAACCACATATATGCAAACAGTAGAATCTCAAGAATTACAAGAAAGGTTCTTCTTAATATTGCCGTTTGTTTTGTTTTTTTTCATTTGTAGTAGTAGCAATAGAAGTACGAGGACAATTCGGAAATAAACCTCCATTTAATTATCAATGACAGACAGTTGCAGATGCAGAACTTTTATTATACACATTAGAAAACTACAACATTACATTACTTTTTGACATAATCGCCATTTAAATTGAGGCACTTGTCATAACATCTTACAAGGTTTGAAATTCCTTAGTAGTAGTTGCTCGTTGCCAAATCTGGACAATAGGATGGGGGGTGGTGATCAAAAACATCCCAACAGAACTGCTTCCAAAGTTCTTGGGCGCATCTAGCAGTCTGCAGGCGAGTATAATTGTGAACCAACACCACACTGGAAGTGGTACCATAGAAAATCCCACCAAATGTGAAGATGCCAAAGGAGTACTGCTAGTGAAGTTCATGGAGTGTGGTTCGACCATCAATTCAGAAGTCTAGTGTGAAATATTATGAAAACTCATACGAGCCATCAATAACATGTGTCGGGGCATACTGACTCCTGGTGTGGTGTTGGTTCACGATAATGCTCGCCCTCACACCTCTAGACGCACCCAAGAACTTTTGAAGCAGTTCCCTTAGGATGTTTTTGATCACCCCCCATATAACCCAGATTTGGCGCCGAGCAACCCTAAGGAATTTCAAACCTTGTAAGACGTTGTGACAAGTGCCTCAATTTGAATGCTGATTATGTCAAAAAGCAATGTAATGTAGTTTTCTAATGTGTATAATAAAAGTTCTGTATCTGCGAGTGTCTGTCTTTGATAACCAAATGGAGGTTTATTTCCAAATTGCCCTCGTAATATAGATGAAGGGAAGATAGGAAGGAATCCTATGGATTTATGGTGATCTCTTATGGTGACATTATATCAGAGAACTATACCAGATGGAAGGGAGGGGGGAATCATAAGATGGAATTTGAACCAGTCATATTATTATGAAGAATGAGGCAAGCTATCTCAAGGAGTGGGTGCTAAAAACGAGAGGAGACAGGCCCAGCCATTCTCATTCTCTGAAGGACAGGATTGTATGCCATGTCACACTTAGGTGCAGTAAATAACACACTATCCATTTATCTGCCAGCCTATTCTGCTTTTGTTATTCCCTCAGACAGTACGTTGTCAGTCCTGTATATTTCTGGTGCTCTCAGTAAAAGAATGTTATCACTCATTGCTTGAATTCACTTCACCAATGTCTTGCTCCCTTGAAAAAACAAAACAACAACAAGCAAGCCTCTTTCTCCTCATATTAAAATACCTTCCATTTGTGTTATTACAGACAACCCAAAAGAAAGTAGCCAAGTCCCAGTATTTATTAAAGTTCTGGATGTGAATGACAACGCCCCAGAGTTTGTCATGTTTTATGAGACCTTCGTCTGTGAAAATGCAAAGGCTGAGCAGGTTAGCAGTTTGTGTTTTGAAAGAAATAAATATCTGATGTTTTGTGCCTTTTGTGTTGCAAGGAACTGTCAGCAACAGTAAATGAAATCAACTCATCACTTTTTGGCCCAAACTGTAACTGGCGTTTTGCATGGTTTAGATGGCTCTTTCCACACTTTGTTTCACTATCTGCAGTTCTGCCCTTCTAATGTTCCTTTTGACAGGAAATTCTATTCCTTTTGATAAACCCATGGTGAGTATATATACATAATCTGCAACCTTAATGGAGCAAATATCACCAGATCCAAAGTCTGGTTATTCAGCAATCCAAATGACCAGTTAGTATTGTTTTATGTGTAATCTTCCATTTGATTCATAAACAGAGACTGCAAAAACATAATAATTCAAGTCCTAATCAAGTATATAGGCAGTTCTAAGCAGGATATTTTTTTTCTTTTTTTTTTCTTTTTTGGCAAAATAAGGATGTTCAGGTCTGATAAATTCAATATTTTCAAATATCAAGGGAATCCTTTAGGTATTGCTCCAATCATGCTTGGTGTAACAATGGAATTTTTCCCCCATAAGAGTTCAACTTATGGAAAATCTGGTATATTGCAGTGGGGGAGGGGTTGCTTTTCCTCAATCCTACTCTTATGATGTGTGTGTATGTGTGTGTGTGCACGCACACACACACACACATGTCCATGTCCATGTGCATAATATTTTCAGAGAAATAAACATATAACAAGAGCCAGATTGGTGTAGTGCTTAAGACATAAAGCTAGAAACTGGAAGCCATTCTGTTCTGGCCTTAGGCAAAAAGCCAGCCAGGTGGCCTTGAGCCAGTCCCTCTCTCTCAGCCCTATGAAGCAGGCAATGGCAAATCACTTCTGAAAAAAAAACTTGCTAAGGAAATTAAGGAACTACTTCAGGTAGTCTCTGGGCATTGGACATGATTGAATGGAACAAAAAGAGACATACCAGAGTAGGTAACAAAATCATCTGCCTAAGGCAGATATGGTAATCTCTGACTTTCAGTGATGCCTTGAAACATACGACCATTTTGGGAGATTAATAAATCCCTCTTTCACTATATTACCAACATAAAGCCTTTTTTCCCTCCTCTCAAAGCAGTTTTCATGGGAAAAGTGTTCTATGGGGAGGAAAGGAAATAAAATATCCTTATCAATCACTGTTTGTTGTCTTGCTTGTTGTTATTAATTGATTGCTTTCATCCCATTTATTCTTTCTGATGAATTAAGAGCAAGGTGTAGATATTAGTCTGCGTACCATAAGTAAAAATAAAATAACACTATTTTCACTTTTCTAGCTCATCCAGACCCTAAGTGCAGTTGATAAAGATGATGCTTTTGGTGGGCACAAATTCTCATTCGCTTTGGCCCCAGAAGTAGCCAGTAGCTCCAATTTCACCCTTCGGGACAACAAAGGTATCCTTGTTTTGTTTTGTTTTTTATTGCATACTTTCTCTCATTTGGGTTTTGACCTTCAGAAAGAACACACTCCTTACCATGTTTTTACTTTTTTTTCAGATAATACAGCTGGAGTCTTCACAAAGAAAATGAGATATAGCCGTCATGAAATGAATATATATCTCCTACCAGTGATAATCTCGGACAATGAGTATCCGGTTCAGAGTAGTACGGAGACGGTGACAATTCGAGTGTGTGCCTGTGACCAAAGAGGCAAAATGCTCTCCTGTAATGCTGAAGCCCTGATCCACCCAACTGGCCTTAGCACAGGCGCATTGATCGCAATCCTTCTTTGTATAATTATATTGTTAGGTAAAGAACTTTGTATGAACTTTGCATGAAGTTGGGGGAGTAGGATGGAGAAAATAGATTGTGCTAAAGAACAAATGAAGCATATTTACACATTAATATAAATATGAAGTATTATTAATAGAGTCATCTTCTGGTATAGATAGAATTAGCTCATGATACATTTTTACATTCTGGGTCTATTGAGTATTCACCAATAGTGATACCCAGTACGTTGATTGTGGTAAAGAAAAAAACTACCGTTTCAGTTTCATGCCATCTTTCCTATTTCTACGCATCAATCAAATATCACAAGTTTCTTTGGCTAACTTGTTAGTTATAGTGGGTTGGCTATCTAATCAACAAACTCAAGTATGTATCCTCTATAAACAGTTCAGAATTATTAATCCTAACCATGTTCTGCGGTTATAATTATGAAGGACCTCACATGGATCAATTTAAAGTGCATACAATTTAAAGTTCACCCACTAAGACAGTGTTTCTCAACCTTGACAATTTTAAGGCATGTGGACTTCAACTCCCAGAATTCCACAGCCAGCATTGCTGGCTGTGGAATTCTGTGAGTTGAAGTCCACATGCCTTAAAATTGTCAAGGTTGAGAAACACTGCACTAAGAAGATGTGGACATACTAATTCCTTAAATGCAGCTGCCACAAAATATCCTTCTCCTTCCAGTTAGGACATTATTATTCCCATCATTCCCTAGCTTGATATAGAGGTATTGCTGGGTTGAAATGTAGCCAACATAGCAATTGTCATAGTTTTTGCTGTATTGATTTCTCATATGTCTTTGCCTCTGTTTAAAGTCATAGCAGGTAATCATACAACAACAACAAAATGTTGTCAGGACATGTTTGGTAGATGCAGATGGGAAAGGCTCATCAACTGGAATTCTAACGTGCTTGCAAAAAAATCATCAATACATGAGAATATCTCTAGCTCAAGTTTGAACTGTGGAATTTTTGATGCTCTCTGAACTTAGTTGTCTGCTTGCAAACATTTCGTTATCCAACTAGATAACTTCATTTGTGAGAATGAGTGTAGGGTATTCTCCGTTTGGATATAAAAGCTTGTCTTGCCTGTTTTGGGGAAGGGAGTGTTTCCTGGATGGTTTCTTGATTTTCTCCCTATAACTTTATAATCTAGGAATCAATGCATTATGCTCTCAAGATGGGGCTTAAAATAATAATTATTGGGATTGCAGTTCTATAGCCTGCAGTAGAATTCAATTAATAGCTGATATCATCTTTTTCTTCTCCTTTGATCTGCAATACAATATTAATACCAGGTAGTAAACCAAAAGCAGCAAAATAATTAAACTACAAATTCTATTTTTAAGAGTAACAAAGCAGATGATTTTATCATTCATTTACTTTTGGTTATATATTTTACTTTCAGTCTTAGTAGGCCTAGCTTATTTATTTTTTAATGCTAAGAATTGCTGAAAAGCCAGAAGAGAAGCAACATGTCAGCTTTACTTTTAACATGTTTTTTTTTACCATTAAGAAGACCTATTCTACAAGTTCACATTAAAATGAAAAAAAAACAGCTTGAGAACTGAGAACACAATTATATTTTGAGCTGAATTACTTAGTAATTTGCACAAATTCAATTTGCATATTTATTTCTTTGAATGAAATCTCATTTCTGGTGATATTAGAGTACCAGACTAAAAATAAATTTAAAAATGCAAATTAGCTCTGTATTTTTACACTAGTTGGTAAAGTATCAGACAATATAGAGCGCAGATGATTATCTGGACTGAGGCAGAATTTATATGGCACAGAGATAAATGTCTATGGAGATTCTTATTCATCCAGGTCATGTTGTCCCAAAAGTGCTTTTTCATGAGGCAACTGGACTTTCTTTTTTCTCTTTGAAGACATTTAACTTCTCATCCAAGAAGCTTCCTCAGCTCTGAAGCTTCTTGGATGAGAAGTGAAATGTTTTCAAAGAGAAAAAAGAAAGTATAGTTGCCTCGTGAAAAAGCATCTTTGGGACCCAAAGATAAATATTTCATTCAAAGGATAGATAAACTCCAAAGATAGGTTGTTGAGGCTATGCAACTTTTACATGGTTTGCATACCTTCCCATTTCCAAATAGTTATTTTAGGGATACTTTATTTATATATTCAAACATCATAGGGTTTGCCCATGTGATCTGCATTTGAGGGGAAAAAACTATTCCTGAGAAGTTATGCTAGCCAGTTGGACACAGTGGTGGGATTCAAATGTGTGAACAACCGGTTCTCTGTGTGGATGCCACTTCCGGAAGTCCATTCAGGGCCTGGGCAACAAAAAATTAGTTACCGGTTCTGCCGAAGTGATACGAACCGGCTGAATCCCACCACTGGTTGGACGGATAAGCAGTCTCATTTGTGTAAAACTTATATTTTTCTTAATTTATAATTTGAACACTCTTCTAAGCTAAGGGATTTGGTAAAGTTGTCTTCCTTGAGGATCTTCTGAAAATCATGAGGTGGCTCTGTTAACATCTTGAATATTTTTGTCAGACTGCAAAAGCATGATAATTCATGATTTCTATCGATAAGAAAACTAGTATTTTCATTTCCATGGAGAAGTATTTCAGTGAAGTTTGGAAAAGAACGGTGCAGTCAGCTTGAGAATATAGCTAAGTGTCCATTTTAATTTTACACCAATCATCTTTGAATTTGGAGTATAGAGAGAATTATCTAATAAATATTCCAAACTTTCTTTAAACTAAAAGAGAGAGAGAAGGGGATAAAAAAGACATTAAGAGTATCATTGAGAACTTTGGTAGTTGTATGCTTGAATATTTATTTATACCAGCACTCACATCCAAATGTTCTAATTCCGGAAATGATTGAAGGTAAGTCCACATTTTAAACCACCAGTTATAAATAATAATTCCTAAATTTTCATACTCAGATTTTGGCAATTGGCAATTTTTAAGTGTCAAAAGGCAAATATAGCATCAGAGGCAACTGGAAAAATGCTCACAATTACCTATTTTTAAATAACAGATTAAATCAAGAATTATAAAATACCTTCGATATTTTTTTAAAGGAAGATATTTTTACAGTGTTACCATAACTTTTTTCTTTATATAATATTGCTACTATATATCTCACTTTTAAAAAAATCCTTAGAGAACAAAATTCAAAGAATTTCAGCAGTTCAACATTTGATGTAACTGAATCTTCTTTTTTTTTCCTTTTGGCTCTCCTCAAAATAATGACTTCTGTGATTTTAAAAGGATTGCATTTCACAACATGAAAACAAACTGAAATTCATCTACGTTTTAGCTTGAAATCTGCATTTCGCCAAACCTTTCCTGTAACTTACAACTCCTAAAATGATGAGCTTCCAAGTGAGAACGAGGTTGTGAATTGTACTGTTTTGCAGATCTTTTTTGCAAAAGAAAACAAAACAAGTTCCCAAGAATACAAATTTCATGGTAGCTTGGCGTTCTTTTAATTAGTGGGAGAATTAATGTCCCTCTCAACTCAGCCGACTTTGCTTAATTAATTTATTTATTTTCTTATCAGTTACCGTGGTGCTGTTTGCCGCTCTGAGACGGCAAAGGAAGAAAGAGCCTTTGATCATCTCTAAAGAGGACATCCGAGATAACATTGTCAGTTACAATGATGAAGGTGGTGGAGAGGAAGATACTCAAGCCTTTGATATTGGCACGCTGCGGAATCCTGAAGCCATAGAGGACAATAAATTGCGCCGAGACATTGTGCCCGAAACGCTGTTCATGCCACGCCGGACTCCAGTGGTACGAGACAACACTGATGTCAGAGATTTTATTAGCCAAAGGTTAAAGGAGAATGATACAGACCCCACTGCACCCCCTTATGACTCATTAGCTACATATGCATATGAAGGCAGTGGATCGGTGGCTGACTCTCTTAGCTCTTTAGAGTCGGTGACTACAGATGGAGACCAGGACTATGATTACCTCAGTGACTGGGGACCTCGTTTTAGGAAGTTGGCCGATATGTATGGTGGTGAAGACAGTGATAAAGACTCCTAATAATGTTGCCTTTTCCTTTTTTTTCCAAGAAACAGCAGTGAAATGTGTGATGTTGCTACTTCTTTCTATATATCAACCATTCTCGGAAAAGGTTCTCTATCCTGCCGGTTCAGATTGTTTCTTGACTGCAGTCTTTGTGGATCTAATGTCATTCCCACTGTAATTTCAGCTTCCAAGAGAGGAAGAAACCCCACATTATTTTTTAATCGCATTTTTATTTAGGCAGTTCAATGGCCAAACGGCAAAGCAATTGAGGGAGAAACCCCCCCCGAACAGAAATGGAATGCTAGTTTTAATATGTTTCTGCTAATTTTGTAAATGGGATGATATTAATGTTATAGCTCACCAAATAACCTATATTTTAATTAGTCACCCAAGACACATATTTCTGCAAATTATATATTGGAACACCCTATTTTAAGGAAATGGTATTTCATATATTATAGGAAAAGAGTGTAGGTCTTTTAAAAGCTACAAGGGAGCTACAGGTAGGCCTCACTTGTTCGTGGCATTTAAAGTTATAATGTCACCAAACAGGTGGATTTATGGCCGGTCCTTGAAGTTGTGTCGTCACATGATCACTTGATTGCAATTTGGGCACTTAATTGCAACCAACCTGCATTGACAGCTGTTGCAACATCTCACAATCACTTGATCATCGTTTGCAACCTTCACTCTGGCTTCCCACAAGCAAAATCATGCCAGTCATGATCACAAGCAAAATCATGCCAGTCATGATCACAAGCAAAATCAATAGGGAAGCCAGCAGTAAATTGCCAGTCATGATCACATAACATCTGGCTTAACAATCATGTGGGATTCATTTAACAACAGCAACTGGAAGTGCTAGAACTGCCACTGTTAAGTTGGCCTGGTCATGTGGGGATTGGTTTTCCAACTGCGTCCCTTAACGATGGGGTTCTTGGTTACTGTCATTAAGGGAGAACTACCTGTAAGATACTTTAATGGTCTTTTGAATGCTAGTGTTAATTTTGAATTGGTCACTTTCCTCAAACTATTAAAACATAATAATAGTAATAATGGGCAATCAGGAGTTAGAAGAAAGGAGAGAGATATTTGTGTATATATGTGCCTGATAAGTGGTCCTAGCCAGTTCAGTATGTGGGCTACAGTACTGTACTTCAAGAGATATTCTATTCCTGGAAAGTAGTCTACTAGGTAATGTATAGAGATTAAACAATGTGTATCAAGAAAGCAGAGTATTGCTGAAAGTACATGTATGGATTTCAAGTAAACCAAATTAATAATAATAAGAGCAGATCAATTGAAACAAAGAATTTCAAGTTAGAAATGACTAAATTAATTCCCACTGATTTTGGTCGCTCTATTTTAAACAGGACTGCATCTGGATCCAATATATAATATATAAAGAGGGTTCCTTATCTATATTTTGTGAGCTCAATTCATATTAATTATTGCTCAATACCAGCTCATACCAGCAAAACAAAAGCTATCATGTTCTCTTTATCACTTGCTCAGCTGGTGGATTGCTGTTATTTCTACCTCCTCCTTCTTAATAAAATACTCTGGTACTAGTGCCTAGGATTAACCTGACAGCAGGTACTATATTGTGCAGCGAGGAAAGGACATGGGAGAAATAAGGAACTAGTACTACAGTAGTGCCTAGCTAAGGAAGCAGCAGGAAATTGTATTTGTTACGATCTCGCCTTGCAATAATAATTCAGTTCAACACTGGTTCATGCTGCTAAACCACTGCTGAGCAAAGCCATACCAACTAACAAGAATTTGTATTGGCCATGAGGTGCCTCAGAGCTGGCTTTGTATAGGATTTAAATATGAAACAAGGGCAGATGTTACAAAGAGTCAAGATTTTTAGAGAAAAAGCAATGAAATGCAAAACAGGAACAAGACACAAAGCAAGGCTATCTGAATTATCTGAAACTCAGTTGCAATGAGCATGCTAAAATGAGCAGGGAAAGCTTTGAACAATATGATATGCTTGAACTACCTTGGCAGAATGGCTCCTTGGCTCACTCATCTGCCTCACAATCAGCACCACAAAGAGGTCTAATAGGAGTTCCTTATGAGCTCTCTGTTTTATTTAATGGCAGCATTTTAAAACAAATGTTTGTATTTTTTTTCCCCTTCATTTTTGCATATCGTTGATCCAAACTTATGAAAATGATTTAGATTCTTTTAATTATAGGATTTCCGCTTCTGTAATTACTATTGCAATATTTATATTATTTTTGTGTGTGTGTGTGTGTGTGTGTCTGTGTTTGTGCACGCACATGTACACAATTCCATTTAGGTGTTCCTGAATTCATTTAATCTAAATTCCATAGACAAAGGTGCCCATTAATTGTTAATCAGTTCTTTTTGCATCTCTAGAAAATACCTGATATAGTCACAAAACAGCTTTTCAGTATTACAGTTAATAGTTCACTGAGGCCCAGTCAGCTGAAAAAATTGTCTAAAAAATTTGCTAAGAGTTTACATAGAAGGTCAGAGGGACACTGAATCAGACCCACCTATTATGCTGTGTTAAAAACACTACACTGCTATCAGAAAAACTCAATAATGTAATCCTAGGCATATCAACTCATAACTGAGCTCCACTGATTCATTAGAGACTTCCAAACAGTATTGCTTTGTAGCCTAATTGTTACTAAAACTTTAAGCCAGTAGTTCTCAACTGTGATCCACAGACTCCGGGGCGCGCGCACAATGTCATCAAAAGGGGTCTGCGAAAGCTTGAATAAATGTTATGATTTAAATCTTGAGTTAAATCTTGGTGGTGTATGGCCACGGTCCATGGCCACAAAAGGTATTTAAAGGGTGTCCGTGGTGAAGAAAAGGTTGAGAACCACTGCTTTAAGCCATGAACCCAATTACTTGTTATTCGATTGCCAGAATCTCTCTTTTAAATCTGTCCAATTTTAGGTACATAGTTAAAAAACCGATATATTGGGGGTTTTTTAAAGGTTTTTAAGAAAATTACTGAATTTGGGTTTTTTTCCCATCCAGTAATTTTTGCTTTTCTTTAATAACATCTTAAAGATGTGAATACAAAATATGACCCCAAAAGTAGGATTTGTAAGCATTTCCAGAGCAGATCTGAATCTATGTTGTTGTTGTTTTTTAAAGCTGATTGTTCCATTTTGAAGCAGATTGGCATCTTTGGGACCCTCCAATGCATAGCACTTGCCTTTGTGTTCTCACAACTTAATCCAGCTTCTACAGCTGAGTCAATCATTTTCAGCTCAGCTGAGACTCAAACCCCAGAGACCAATTCTTCAGAACTCCAAGAAATTTGAGATAGGAGGTTTCAAGTTGGTAGCTATCTCCCAAATCTTACAGCCTGTCCTCTCCTGCCGAAACTAAGTTTGTATGGAACTATGCCATTTCCCTCTTGAGGATGCATTGAATTGAGAAGCAAATTGTCCATTATACTAAACAGTGACTGGGGTGTATTTTCTTTGTTCTTGTTGTTGCAAAAAAGGAAAAACAAAAACAACTATAAGCAGCTATGGGACACTAGCTACGTGTTTACCCTTCTGTTGCCTTATTAGTAAGCTACAAGGAACATGGGCGGCTGGTAAACAAAGAATGGCATACCAATGGGAATATAGTATGTATAGGGCAGTATGGAAAAGATTCTGAGATTAGAGGTAAAAGTAGCTATGTAGAAATTCCCTTTGTTTTTGGACATTATGGTTCACTATTTTAAAAAAACTGCTAGGTCTGTTTTGGCAAAGAGGACTGAGAAATGCATGTATATGCCCTATTATATTTCCCAACTTGATGTCTTCCAGATGTGTGGTGCTGCTAATGTCATCATTTTACGATAAACTATGCTTACCAAGACAGGATGGGAGTTGTAGATAACCCAGTGGAGAGATAAGTTGGGGAACACTATCATATACTATATGTAATGAAATCATTCTTCATTTGTTTTCATTTTTTTTAAAAAATAGAACAAAATAAGACCATTGTGTTTCTGATCTTATGATGCAAGTAAGAAAATCAAATCAAAGAGTGTATAAGATCCCAAAGTAATCAGCTAAATATTTCTGGATTTGTACACCTCTTGACATATGTTATTTTAAGGAGATCAACTCTACAGAATGCTGTAGAATTGCAAATAACCAAATAGCAACTTTAGTGACATTTAACAAAAAAAATTAAGTATAATCTCCTGACAGTTTTCAAATAATTTGTTTTATGGTATAAATGGATTAATTTATTTTGTGGAACCAGGTTACTAATATTAAGTGTGTGTACACTGATCCGAAGTAAAAGATGTAAATTTGGAGTTGATAATGAAGGAGCAACAAGGAACAATCAAACAGAATGAAATGTAATTTATAAGTAGACATTTTAAGGGAATTAAAAAAAGAAGCCATAGTTATATCTAAAATGAGTGTGCATAGCATGCTAAGGCAAAATGTGGTATAATTTTGATTTAGGGTAATGAGTGAATCTAGACATCATGGTTTATAATTCAAGATTTATAATCTAAAATTATTTGTGAATTGGATCACTGTAGCTGATCCCACAAAACATAATTAAAGCAATCACTTCACAGTGATAATTCACGGTGATGAATGTGCCCAGTCTTCAAGTAGACTCATGAATATAGTTGGAGTCAAGATGGACAGTTCAATGAAAATGTCAGCTGCACAGCTGCACCAAAAAAAGTGGTAAATTCTTTTGTACTTAACATTATTTAGGAAGAGAACAGAACATAGAACTACCAATATAATAATTCCCTTAAATAAATTTGTGGGAGAACAAATGTAGGTATTGTGTATAATCCTGATCACAACAGAGTTAGAAGGTAGATGCCAAACTGGTATGTATAGAGTTCTTTAAAGCAGGTTATTGCAGAGCTAGGAAAGTTACAAAAAGGGCAACTAAAATTATTAGGAGGCTGAGAAAAGACTACACAAATTTAAAGCTGTTTAGCTTGAAATTGAGGAGGGTAAGAGGATAGATGTTATGGGTATATAAAATAA